CCCCAAAACCCCAAAACCCCAAAACCCCAGTATCCAATTTAATTTGGCAGATTTAGTATAAAGTGATATCTAAATTTTTAATTTTATTTTCATAATTGAAAATATTAGCTAAATCATTAAGGTTGATAATGGAACATAAATTAAATAGTTTTAATAATTTTAGTTGATTAGATTTTCCCTACGAAAAAAGATTTAAGATGAACTTCTCATACTAGAGTAATCTGCAGTAAATGAATGACTATGATAATACTTGCTTTTGCTGCAAATAAAATTATGATGATCACTAAAGAAAGCCCTTTTTACTAGCATGTGGAGATGTAATCTGTCTTCTATGCTATAATAATTAGAAAAACAATGCAAAAAATAAGCAAGTGCAATGCCCGATTAATAGTTCTCATCTTTACCCAATTAATGAATCAGATACTAATCAACTCTCTATGTAAAAACTTTAGCAGAATGATTTTTATCCAATCAAGTGTTAAGATCATCTCAATGAAAATGCTAACATTTACTGCAAACAATAAAATAAATTGGTTTGCAGTGTATGCTTGCAAACCGACCCTCATGCTCATTTTCTCCAAGATCAATCTTTGCATTTCGCTTTCGAAAGAAAATATTTAGATGAATCTTTGGAAAAGATGCTGCCTATCTTAAGTAATGAAATAAAAGAAATCTAATCATAGATTGATAGAATAAACTAGTTTATTAACAAAGAGAGAGAATTCTAAATCCAGGAAATTTAAAATATGATAGAAAAAATTTTTAACATTTTAAAGTTCTCTAAGAATACTAATAAGGCAGCACCAAAAGATTAAATTAAAAAAAAACTGAAAGACTAAGGATAAATTTTCAATTTTATCTCTAACTTCTCGTAATTTTTATAATTTAACTTATATTATAGAGATACCTTCAAACAATTTCATTAACCTCGAAATGATGAAGAACAAAAATATGCTCAAGGTCAAAATTAAGAAGAGGTCAAAGCTAATGAATAAATAGATTATTTAGTGGCTGAAACACTCGGGAAATTAGAGGAAGCAGATAGACCAAAGTACTTAGAATTCAGAAGATTGGTTGATATTCATCTGGAAACTCTGAAGATTAAAAATCTGAAAGATAAATCTAAACTTCTTCCTATAAGTGGCAAAAGCACACTTATATTCAAGGCTACTAATGATGGATTTGTAGGCTCCAGCTTTCATTAAAAGTGCAATAACTAAGGACCTACTATTTCCTTCATCTTAAGTGAACATGGTCAAGTTTTCGGTGGATATACGTCTGTTTCATGGACTACCCCATATTCTTATTCGTATTTCTCTGATTTAAAAGCATTTATATTTAGTTTAAGCAAGAACACTCTGCTCAAATAATATCAAAACTTTTCTCATTCAGTTTATCATTAAGGAGAATAATTAATGTGTTTTGGTTATGGAGGCGATATTTATATTTCATACGGTTGCAATACTAGGAGTGATAGTTATTGCAATTTAGGTGGTACATATAAGCCCAAAAGAAAAGACCATAAGAATTAAATACTAAATGCTTAAGATTATTTAGGGGGTAGTGTTAGATTTCGAGTAATTGAAATAGAAGTCTATTAAATTTAAGCATGATTAGTTGCTTTTAATATAATTTAATCAAAGATATTTTCACTTATCTATTAGCTATGATAATTTAAGGGGTTTTGGGGTTTTGGGG